AGATCCTGTTCCAAATGATATGTCTTTGAAGATCCCTAATGCAAGGCCTCACTCTCCATAGGGAGCAGAAAGGGGATGGGATAGGTTGTTGGATGGGGGCAGAGGAGGAAGGGAGGGAGAGAGAAATGGGATTGACATGTAAATGAAGCTTGTTTCTAATTTAAATTTAAAAAGGAAGAAAAAAGTTCATTGCTTAATAAGTATTGTATTGGTGTGTCAAATTGACAAGGGGTCAATTACTCTGGTTTTCTCTCTCTTTTTTTTATTGCCAACTTGACACAAACCTAGAGTTATTTTAGAAGAGATTACAGTTGTAACAATGCCTTCATGAGATTGATGGAAGGAAAATCTCTATGGCATTATTATGATTGATTGGCTGATTGATTGATTGATTGATTGATTGATTGATTGATTGATTTGGGAAATTTTAGCCAACTGGATCAGTGACATCTGTTGTGGGAAGGTGGCCCTGAGTTGTATAAGAAAGAAGGCTGAGCAATTCTGGGGTCACAAGCCAGTAAGCAGCACTTCCCCATGGCTCTTGCTTCAGTTCCTGCTTTGACTTTTCCCCTGTGTACTGTAATTTATGATTTGTAAGACACATAAACACTTCAATTGGTCATTGTCCTTATCATATCAAAGGAAACTAAATTAATACTACTGTGCATATGTAGCCCTTAAAATTTTTTCTACTCTTGCAGTTGCTTAAGATTGCCTAGCATATGGAATATTTTATACCATATGTATGTGTGTGTACAATATATGTACATAAGTGAAACTTGGCTTATAGTTTATTGAAAAATTATCTGGAGTTGGGTGAGGGCAAAAATTATGGTCAAAATATGTTACATAAAATTCTGAAAAGTAAGCTAAAACAATAAAAAATTAGCTAAAATTGATTATATGATTCTCTGTCAATTTTTCACATAAATATATATTCTACCATGTTAAATATATTTAGACTGGGCTTTCTTTTCTCCTTGGTGAATTGACTTACACTCTTTTAGAAATGTTTGTATATTAATCTACTTGGTGTCTCCTCCTAAAATCTATTTCTATTAATTATTATTGCTTTTATTGAGTGAGTGCTATTAATCGTTTTAAGTTTGTTTATTTGATGCTGAATGTTTATATTATGATAGGCTAAGTAGGCAGGTCTTTTGTTAAAATTTGCTGTTCTCAATGAATAAGATCTTATTACTATACTATTACTATACTGTACACATTGTATGCATGTGTACAGTGTGTGTGAACATTAAGATACATAGGGCATTATGTATTTTGCATAACAATAAAGCCATAAAAAGCAATAGATTAATGAATTATTTATCTTTGTATAGTGTGCTTATGGAGTACTTCTGGGAAGAAGAAGAAGTATTAATAGCTTGTGAAATATACACAGTAGAAATAGCAATGATTGGAATAATGAATGAAAAAGCTTTTGAGGAGTGGAAAACAAAAATATTTTTCTTTTCAGCATTATTCCACACTGAAAGGAATAATTATGTACCAGAAGGTTTAAGGAACAATACATTGTTAAGGTATGCATGATGTGCAAAGGGAGACTGGAGTTGGTGAATCAAAGCTACATTACTGCTCATACATAGTAAATGGAAACTTTGATAACTTCTATTCCTAATGCAAATTTGCTTCCTTTTCTTTTTCTTGTGCACACATATTTTATACTTCATGCTTTCATAAAGAAACTTCTAAATACAACTGAAATGTTCTTTATTGAGTTAGACATAGCTCTACTACTTAGCAGTGATTAAGTTTTGAATGTTTCTGCAAATATACAAGGGAGAATGACAGAATTATAAATCATTTTTATATTTTGGCTAATCACGTTCATGTAAGCTCAGTTTTATCATAGTTTTAATATAGAGGCATCACTTTTATCATACTTCCCTCCTTGTGGAGTTGATCTCAAAAGTTTTTCATACATTTTTTTTGCTTCAGTGGACTGTATTTTTGATAGATTGGGGCATTTCTGAAACATTCTTTGTTATATCTCATGCTGCAAGCATTTTTTCTTACTTGTTGACTTAAGTGTTGCCAAAGTGGAATCTTTGAATTTCTAGTAGCAAAAACTTAGTTTATTAGATAGTCAAAATGTTCAAACACTATATATTTAAAAATGTGCTGGTGTATTTAAAATAAAAAGTAACAAAAAACAAAACACAAAAATAAAAAAAAGAAAAAATACTCAAATTATCCTTAATGACATATTATTTTTATGTTTAAGTATGCATACATTTACAATTAATAAAATAATAATAATGGATATAAGAGAGCAAGGAGGGATTTAGGAGAGTTTGGAGTTAGGAAAACTAAGGGACAAATGTTATAAACCTATTATAATTTCAAAAAATTTCATGGGAGTGTTTGGAGTTACAAAAATTAAGGGACAAGTGTTATAACCCTATTATAATTTCAAAAAAATTCATTCTAGGCATCTACTTTACTTTTTCTTTATTTCTCCATTCTTCATATTTTTCATTGAGATTTATTTATTTATTCATTTATTTGGAGACAATGTCTCACTAAGTAGCATTGACCTTCTTGAAACTTGTTTTATAGGTGGGGCTGGACTCTAACTCATGGTGATCAGTCAGCTTCTGCCTCCTGAGTGCTGGCAAAAACAAAAAAATGAACATAACAATAGACAACAATTAGTTTCCTAAAAAAAAAAAATCCTTGTGCTAATTGTCCATAAAAATTCTCTCTCTAAAAATACATCGCAAACATCAATAGTATGAATAATATGTTGCTGTGACAGTGTCATAGTCTGTGTTGTGTCCGCATTTTATCCAAACCACTTGAGAAAGTACTGAACTTATGCAAACACTTGAGTAAGACTCTTTTATTATTGCCTCCTAAAGGTGATAGTACAATTTTGCAAATATCCTGATAAATTAATTTTATTTAAATTCTTGACAAGTAATGTTGTTTAAGACTATACATGATTTGTATGTATTTGTGTGTTTCTGTATGTTTGTAGGTGTGTTTATGTGTGTATGTTTGTGTATGTATATATCAATGCTAATTAGGCATATCTGTCTAGTGGACATATTCATGAACTTAAGTATGTTTTCTTATTTGGCAAATTAAAAGAACAAAGCTGTAGTAGATGGTTCTTCAGGATACAATCCCACTTTTCTGGAGTAGGGTATTGAAATGAATACATTAGAAAGGAGAGAACTCTGAGGTCTGTTAAATGGACGTGTAGTCAGATTGCCTTCTAAGAATTTATAACTACAGATTAATGTTTCTTTCTGCTTTACTTGGAGAAGCTGCTTCCTGCAGTCATGATGACCTGATAGTTGATAAAGATACTCCAAGCTGGGTCTGATCATGTGCAGAGAATGAGTGAATATCAAATATGTAGACTTAACAAGAATGTCTCTATCATCTACTCTACAGCTCAGAAAAAATATTCTGCAAGAACTGGAGAATGTAAGGGAGCATGATTAAACACTATATTCTGGATATGCATGGCCAATGAAGTCATGAACTAACAGCAGATGTAAGCATGTGTATAAGACCTAATTGCGCACACACACACACACACACACACACACACACACACACACACACACATGCACACACACTCATGAAAGAAACAAACGATATATAGGTCAATGGGACAGGGAAAGCTACAAGGTAATTTTTTTCTAGTGAATATGATCACAATACACTGTACATGTGAATGAATTTGCCAACAATATTAGTGGAGAAGAAGCAGGAGAGCTGTTGAGTCAATGTCATTTTTGCTTTGTTAGAACGTGTACTTTATTTCAGTATTAATAAGATGGACATTCTCTTCAATATGATTATCTAATTGAGAAGGCTTGTTCTCAAGATAGTTTTGAAATTCCTGATGTCTACTGTTTCACTGAAATCTACCCATTAAATGATGCATGGTGCCAGAAATGCATTTGTGTGAATAACTGTCCCCTTTTTCCTTAAAGGAGAAAATGAAAATTTATTTTACAATCTTTATTCAGAATTTTATTGATTTTTCAAGCATGCATTTTGATAATTCTATTGAAAACATTAGTTTAAGTCATTCATATATCAAACATGTATTAACCAATGATATGTTTGAATTTGTATTTCATAAGCACTAGGTGGCAATAATTAAATACAAAATTGTGATAATAGCTCATAAAACATCCCTACATTTAAGGTAAGTATCAGCAATCCATAACACTTTCACTTTATATTCTGTATTTGAACTGAAAACAGAATTTATGTAAGTTCATGAACTTCATGGCCATTCTGTGAACTGTAATTATCCTTCACTGGTGTTTTAGATCTTAGAACATTATCTCTATTTCCTTCATGAAACTAATTTCATAACACTTGGTTTTCACAAATTTATTGCCCTACAACTTATAGAGGCAGAAAGTGAAGGTGTTGGAAGCTATCCATGGGACTCTTTATTTTATAATCTGCCCTATGTTTTCACCCATTTTTATCATCAGGCTACTTACCCCATGCACTACAACTTTAAGCTAGCACTGAGAAAAGTTTAGATGAATATAAAATTATAGATTTCAGATAATCTTAAAGCAGTCTTATCTTGATCATTTTGATTATGGTTCTCGCTCCCCCAAGTTATCCAAGATTTTTCTTACCACCTCACCCACACATAGATAGATAGATAGATAGATAGATAGATAGATAGATAGATAATAGGTGTGCAGGTAGAAATATAGATACATAGTTGAAAGATTATTTATAGATCAGAGAGATAGGTCAGAGATGGATAATTTATAGATATATAGGTGATAGATACATGATAGAAAGATAGATGATTGATAATAGATAATAAATACATAAGCAGAAAGATACAGGTTAACAGAAGAAACTAACACACTCTTTTTACCCATAAATACTTTTCCTAAAGAGAGGAGAAGCACTGTCATCCAAACTCCATAACCAAATATATAAAGTCAGGAAATCTGCTTTGCTTATGCCTAGATAACTCTACTTACCTGAATTTGAATTTTAAAAGGAGTTTATGTAAAACTTCATAAAATTCAAAGCTGAATGTTGTTCCTTTGTTGATTTAATATCATAGATGATTGTCCTTCTTTGCTAGGTGCTTTGAGCTCATTCCTAATGTAACCAGAATGATGAGATATGAAGAATATGATCTGCCATTCATCCATAAAACTAAAGAACTGCAGAAAGATGTGGAATGAATCTACCCTGGCTCATATTCAGAGTATTCTTTTAATCATGTTTTAGAACTGCATTTATTTTAAAGACTGGAAAACAAAGAATCCAAACTCATTTCTCTATGTTAAGCTAAAATGGAGATTTTAAAAAAAATCCTGCTTTGTGATTTACAACAAACTAGGAGAGGTTATTTTAGAACTGTGTGGAATTCCGATATTTGAAACAGCAATTACTTTCCACATAAATGTTACCTTTAAGAGTCAAACAGTATTTTGCTACTGCAGTTCACATTTCCCTAGTGGAAAATTTTTTTTATTCAGAAAAATGAAAAATGTGCAATGTAGTTTAAAATTTAAAAATCAAACAAGGACAACAAATCCCGTATCTGTTCATGCACATGCATGGGTACACACCCATGCAGTGCACACAGATATACACAGGTAAACATGGGCACACACAGAAAACACACACAGTCATAGACAGGTACACTCATGCATGCACAGATACATACACATTGACACACACAGACATAGAAACACACACAGACACAGACATGTATACTCATGTATGCACAGACACATACATACATTGACACACAGAGATGCACAAACAAACACACTGACACACACACATAGACATAGACACACACACACACACACACACACACAGAGTGAGAGAGAGAGAGAGAGAGAGAGAGAGAGAGAGAGAGAGAGAGAGAGAGAGAGAGAGAGAGAGACAGAGTGAGACAGAGAGAGAGAGAGAGAGAGAAACATACACCAGAAACACATCACATGCACATACAAGTATACATAAACCCACACTCATCCCACATTTGAAAGTGCTCAAACCAATGGAAGGGAGTTGTCACATTAGATTATCTTTCGGAAATCAAATCTCAGATTCTACTTGGAAAGAAAAAGTAAGAAGTCACATAGAAACCTTGGTAGTTCACAAGATAATGTATGATTTTTAAAATCATTAGAAAGGAGTTATCCTGCATGGCAAGAAAATGTAGCAAAATATAGCAAAATTCAGTTAATATTAAATAGAAATATTAAAATAATATTAATATTTAAATAAATGAATTTAATAAATATTAATATTAAAAGAGAAATTTACTCTATAATGTTTATCTTTTATAGTCACAGAAGTTGATGTGCAATGTGGTTGAGTAGAAAAGGCATTATAATGTTCCCCAGCTGTGGACCCTACATACTATGACCCCAAACACCCAGGAAATGTGGACCCAGTAGTGTAATACTGGCAACAACTCTGTGATTGGATTTGAAGCTTGATACTGTAAACCAAGTTAAAGTATGGCTAATAAAATCTTAGAGCTTAGGGGATAACTTGCTTCTATCGTGTAACTAAATTTCAATGGCACCTAACTAGTTTCCAAATATTTATGTTCATACACATAGACAAATTCTATTCTCAATATCAATAAGTGTTCTCTTTTTGCAGTGAAAAGTGGTGAAGATACACTAGAAATAAATAAAACACAAATATTCCAATTAAAAATGGGGTGCAGATTTAAACAGAATTCTCATCAGAAGAATCTCAAATGACAGAGATTCTTTAGCAGGCCCTGCCCCTCACTGGACTCTGTAGGAAATGAGTTGTCCCCCAACTCTCATGGGAGAACTGCTCCCCAACCCCTCAGTCTAGAGAGATGACTCCACCCCTCACCAGAGGCAGGGTAGACTGACCCTGATATCATGGGAATAGGGAAGCTGACTTCACTCATCTCGTGGAGTGGGAAGTCTTGGTACCATGGAATGAGCAGCTCAGCTCTCACCCAGACCTACTACTAGGACTGGGATTGGGCCATCTTAACATCTAGTGCCATCTATGACTTGCTGGAGATTCTACTTTCCACCTGTCAAAATGGCTAAGATCAAAAATCCAAATGACAGCTTATGCTGCAGAGGATGTGGGGGAACACTCTTCCATTGCTGTTGGGAGTGCAGACATGTACAGCCCCTTTGGAAATCCATGTAGTGGTTTCTCAGATAATGGGAAATCAGTCTAACTCAAGACCAAGCTGTACCTCTCTTAGGCATAAACCCAAAGGATATTCAATCATACCAAAAGGACACTTGCTCAACAGTTGCTCAACACTCAAGGATACTTGTTCATAGAGGTTTTATTCATAAAAGTAAGTACTGCTTTCTACCTTTTGCTAATTTTCTTATTATTGTTCAAGACATAATGATGACCTACTAAAGATAAAATTATTACATTTATTTGACATTGAAGTGTAACAAAGCAACAAATTCAGGTTTTAATGGACTTTAAAGGTCAAAATAACAACGAAACAAAATTAGGCATGCAATAACAATTATAGAAAAAGGAAGTAATGAATTTAAAGGAGAGCAGGGAGGGGTATATGGAAGGGTTTAAAGCAAGGAAAGGGAAGGAAGAAATGTAATTATACTATAATCAATAAAAGAGACAAGCACATCCTTTTATACTAAGTGCAACCAAATAAAAGATGTGCTAATTTAATTAAAATTAAAATGCATTGTTTTAAATGAATACATTCTCTTAGTGGTGGGAATTGCATTTTTGTCCTGCTTTGATATTATGTCATAGCTTGTATTTTGTGGAAATGAATTGTTTGATTCTGTGACTATATAAAAAGAGCTTGTCTATATCTGTGTTCATGTATTTTTTTGTAACAACAGATAGGTATATGATCGACAGCTAGAATTATCAGTATGTGTGAAGGTATCTACGTAACCTTAGGGCATCCCAAAACATTACTTTTATTTTGTTTATTTTCTCAAAATTACAGGAAATAAATGTCAGTCTCTACTGAAACTGCACTCTTCCTTAAGGAGATATAACTTTTAAAGAATAGAAAAAATTCCCCAAATATGTAGCCTTTCAGACTCTTCTCTGTCCCAATGATGAACAGGAAATGTCCATCTACACTGCTGTCCTTTTGTTCTCCATGGGTGCGAGCTACAATTTACTTCAGGGCTGGGTAAAGAATTGCTCCCCACAATAGCTGCAGTGAAAAATACTGTGCCTTTTATCTGTCTCTTTTTTTCAAGATAAATGGAGCAGGTGTAGAGGAATTAATGAAGCAACTGCCAAATTGCAGGGGTCATTGGTGTGTTGAAAGCTATAAATTAGCCAGGTCTTGTGGGAAATTACCCTCTACCTCTATAGAGACCCGGCCATTTCTAAATTCAAGTTCAAGACAAGAGAAAAAGCAATTTGAAAGTGCAAAGGGAAAGTGCTAGTTATGTTTTGTGTTTGTGATAATTCTAAGTGGAAAACACGGACCAGATAATACATTTTGTCTTTAGAGTTGAATCTACTAATATAAGGGTAGCTTAGACATAAATCATTCTACAAAAGAAAACAAAGTTTGTGTTTTATTAAAAATATGTTCATATGCATTTTATATACTGGTTAGAGCAGTTGGAAACCACATGAAATACAACATGAGCTTGTATTCACAGAGGTACTGATTAGTTAAGCTTGGTTAAATGCAATGCTTTTTCGAGAATCACTACAGAATGAGAAGATAGACTTGAAGGAGCAGAAGTTTAAATACGCATGTATAGAATACCCTCTTTTCCCATCACCAAATTCTTCTATTTTCCATTAGCACATGAAACATTTAAGTAATTTTTTTTTTTAATTTAGAAGCACAGTGGGAATTAGGGTAAAAGGTACACAAATGTCCTAGAAGTATTTTTCAGATATGTATGAAATTTTAACAACACTTTGTGTGTGTGTGTGCGTGTGCGTGTGCGTGTGCGTGTGCGTGTGTGTGTGTGTGTGCCCATGCTCACATACATGTGTATGGGCATGGCATATTAGTGTGGAAGAAAATATGCTAAAATTGTTTCTCTCTTTCCACTGTGTGTTTACCAGGGATCTAATTCACTAAAACAGTTATAAATAAAAAAAAACTATGATGTAAATTCAGGTATGTCACAAGGAAATCATTTAACTGGCACAGAAGGCCCATTTGTAAATTATGTTAATTATAAGTATTCTTCCTTTACAACAATCCAAGAAAGTCAATAGTTGCATGTACACATGTTCTTATATAATTTAAAATGAAACATTCTGCAACAAAGTAACATTGAAAGTGTAGCTTTTAAAGAATTAATTGAAAGGGGAAAATTTTATGTTTCTGTGCCCGTGTTTTATCTCTAAAATGTGTTATACAATTGTGATATTTTCAATGAGTGTTATTAGTGCATAAAAGCTTATTCTAATTTTCTTGCTTTCATTTCCTCTCTTTGGCCTATTTTTAGTATTATTTCAGTTATACAAAATACATGTTCAATATTTTTAATCATCTTAGAGTGTATATGTGTCATAATTTTATGGGTTTTTCTCTGCATCCTTTTAACTTTGGTATTATAAAAAAAACAACTTTTAATTTTTTAACCTTTAATCCCATCAGCATTGGATGCCATCCTGCACTGTGTCTTTCAGTAAGTGGTCAGCCATATGCTGTGTGCATAAGCTCTTTGGCTGAGGTTTCTGAACCTGCTGGATTGTTTACATTTGTCACATCTTATACTTCCTTTGAGACACTACACATTGTTTATAACATCTAAGTACAGGAATCTACAGGAAAAGAAATATCCCCCATGTGCATCTCTAACAGGGCTATGCCAAGAAATTTCACTGTATATGTGCAGAAATTGGTTGCTGCAGTATATGTACTTATTAGTGAATGTTCACTATAGGCTTCTGAACTAAGCCCCAGAGCTACTCAACTCACCTGCATTCTCACAAGTGACATGCGAACCTAAAATTTTACACAGTTTTAATGGTGAATGGCATCAGGTTTTCAGGTATTTTAATCCCATAGGAGTAAAATCATGGAAGAATAAATTCACTAGGGAGAATTTAAAGTAAGCATATTTACAATTGCCTTACAAACTGTAAAACAACCTCTTAAGTAGGTAGAAGAGTAAATTTGTATTATTTAAATTAATCCTATTTTTAGTTTTGTATTGTGTGTGCATCTTTTTTAGGTTGTTAACTATCTTAATAGAACGGTGGGCTGAGAACATTTGTTATGGCATATCTGTGTGGTCAAATCCATAATGTTGCTTCTTATACATTCCCTTATATTTATATTAAATCTGTTCCTCTTCTTACGCGATAAATAAAGTCTATCCATTTTCATTTTATTAAAGTGCTAGTATCATTTCCAATTTTGTACATTTTCTTATATGGCTTGTATGTTCTGCACATCACAAGATAAATATATATTTATAAGTGCTAATATTTTAAATAAATGACTGATTAAAAGTATCCTCTCTTCTACTGATATATGATATTACTTTCAGCATTATTCAATTTCTTGCATATGACTCTGAAAGACCCCTGCCCCTTAGCTCTTAAGTTTGCCTCCTCCTCCGGTCGGCAGCTGATGGGGCACGCGGCGGATGCCTCGCTCCTGCCAGGCCCGAGGGCGAGCATCAGGTGGGCTGGCCCGGGGCCCTGCCCCCACGCCCCCGCCCGATGGGGAACACTCCGTCCCAAGGTCCTCGCCCCCAAGGTCAGCCATCTGGACGCGGAGGGGGGAATTGAGTCTGTTGTACCAGACACCAGACCTTGAGAATATGCTGGTCTGGAATCGCTCTGTGCCTCACTTAAACCGTCCAATAGAAATGACTCTGTACTTCGCCTCATTTGAATAACCCTGTGTAGCGCCTCAGTTACATTGACCAATGAGAATAGCTCTGTACTGCGCCTCATTTGAATTATCCAATAGAATCCCTGCTTCTCGCTTGCGCTTTTTGCTATATAAGGACCCCTCTCCCTTGGCTTGGCGCGCTTGGCCTCACAGAAGCTAAGTCGCCCCGGGTACCCGTGTCTCCAATAAAGCCTCTTGCAGTTTGCATCCAAGTTCGTGGTCTCGCTGATTCCTGGGTACGGGTCTCCTTCTACAAAGTACCTCTTCGGGGGTCTTTCAACTCCAATCATAAAATTTCAATACTATTTTATCATGTTCTGTTCATATCACTGTCAGGATTATAACTTTTATTTTAGTGTTATAATAGTAACTTAGACACTTCTATTCATAGCTTTAGAGTGTGTGTAGAGTTCATCCATCAATTTTATTGACATTGTAAAATGGTCAATGTAGAATTAGTATTTTTATTCTTTTTTAAATATTTTTATTCTTGATATTAAATGTAATTATATAATTTCCTCTTTCTCTTTACTCCTTCCACTACTTCCATATAAACCTGTTTATTCTCTCTCAAATTCAGGACCTCTCTCCTCTTTATCTTTTTTCTTTTTGGTCTCTTTTTTTTTTAACTAAAATAGGTCTTTTGAATACCTTAGAATTTCTTTAAATAAAAAGATCCAAAAAATCAAGTTTTATTGCAATAAACTTAGCCTATTAGAGCTGACAAGATGGACCATGGCTAACGGTGTTTGCTTTTAAGCCTTCTGCCTTGAGTGCAATGCCTAGCACCTACATGATGGAGGAAGAGAAAAGAAGATGCAAAGTTGTCCTTCCATGTGGACAAAAAATCTTAATAGGTAAATGTTAAAAAATAAATAAAAGCATAGCCTTTGCTTCAGCAATGTCAGGCCATGCTGCTGTTGTAGCTCTGATCTCACCCAAGCAGCCTCTGGGCTTTGTCTACTATATATCCATCTTATGTATCTGTATGCCAGCTGGCCCTGAAATCACTGCGTATCATCTCAGACAAGTCCAATGTTCAGCACAGTGCAGGGCTGCTGCTGCTGCTGCTGCTGCTGCTGCTTCTTTTTCTTCTTCTTTTTTTTTTTGGCTTTTTGAGACAAGGTTTCTCTCTGGCTTTGGAGGCTGTCCTGGAACTAGCTCTTGTAGACCAGGCTGCTCTGGAACTCACAGAGATCCACCTGCCTCTGCCTCCTGAGTGCTGGGATTAAAGGCGTGAGCCACCAATGCCCCGCCTTGCTGCTGCTGCTTCTGCATCACCATTCCTCTTCCCCAGACTCCTTCTAATCCCTCATCCCTTCTAATTTCCTCTTTCTCCTCCTTCTTTCAACTTAATATGTTCTCCTTAGTAAAAAAACAGATTCATTTCTCATACAATATATACTCACTGTAAGTTTCTCTCTCTCTCTTCCTCCCAGTTCCTCCTCACTTGCCTCCCCTCCAAATCCACATTTTTAATGAGATAATGACAAAACATAACAAAATGAAATAAAGTAAGATAAAAATCATCACATTGAAGTTAGACAAGGAAATCCAACAGGAGAAACAAGTCCCTAGAGAAGAAACAAGACTCAGAGATCTTCTCATTCATACACTTAGGCATCCCATAAAACCACTCACCCGAAAGGTATACTTTAAGTCCAGAGGAACTGGTGCAGACCTGTGTAGGCCCTCTGCTTGCCGCTTCAGAAGCTGTGAATTCACATGATGTTTCCTCGGTTAATTCATAGGCCCTTGTTCTCCTGGTGTCCTCCATCCCTCTGGCTCTTCTACACTTTCAGTCTGTTCTCCATGTGGATCCCTGACCTCTGAGAGGTGAGCTTTGATTGCGATATCCCATTTAGAGCTGGGTGTTCCTACATCTCTCTTACTGCATACTTTCTATCTGTGAGTTTCTGCACTTTTCCCATCTTCTATAGGAGGAAGCATCTCTGATGATGGCTGAATAAGGCAATGATCTATGAGTATAGTAGAACACCATTAGGAGTCCTTTCATTGCTACTTTTTCTTTTTAATAGTGTTTGGTTTTATCCCAGGACTCTGGTCTATAATCTCTTATTCTTGGTCACCCAACAAATACTGAGTATGGGTTCCATACAGAAGAAAGGGCTGTAAGTCAAATCAGACATTAGTTGGTTACTCCCACAAATTTTGTGCCATTGTGGCCCTAGCATATTGTGAAGGCACAAAAATTGTAAACCAAAGGCTAGATTTGCATTTACATTTACCTTTTGGCAGCCTTCATGGTATTTTCCCGTATCCAAGACATGAGAATATTAAGGTGAAGGCTCCATGTAAGCACCGTCAGGCCCTCTGCATATTTGATGAGTTGTTCTGTGCAGGGTTGTCTTCAGAAAATGGCTTATGCTTCAATTTGCAGGGGAACAACCTACTGTCTTGGGAGCCTGGGTTGCTTGGGGATTTCAATAGAACCCTCTTGGCCAACAACTACACTAGATGTAATGAAGTCCTACCATAGTAACTTTGTTTAGTGATAAGAGGTGAGCATTTGGAACTCTATCCATCATTCTTAGGAGATTTCCTTAGGATCATCTTCATACATCTTAGGAAGTCTCCACTGCACTGTGTTTCCATACCACCACCCAAAATGTCCCCCAATACTACCTGTCTCTCACAATATTCCTTCATTCAACCCATCTCCTCTCTCCCTTCTCTCCTGTTCCTGCCATTCTCATCTCCCATATCCCCATTATGCACATAAAAACTATTCTATTTCCCTCTCCCAGAAAGATCCACTTGCAACAACCCCAGTCTCTTCCACTATACCTAATCTTTCTGGGCCTACAGATTGTAGCTTGGTTATCATTTATTTATCTTTCTGGTCTGGGATACCTCACTACATATGGTTGTTTTCTTGTTCAATATATTTGCCTGCAAAATTCATGATGTCATTTTTAATAGCTGAGCAATACTCCATTTGTGTAAATGTATCATATTTTCTTAATACCATCTTCTGGTGAGGGACATCTAAGTTGTTTCCATTTCCTGGAAATTATGAATAGCACAGTAATGGAAGTGGTTGTGGTAAGATGAACTGTCTTTTGGTATATGCCCAAGAATAGTACAGCTGAATCTTGAAGTAGATTGAGTCCCAAAGTTAAGAGCCATCATTTTAATTTCCGTAGTGGCTATACAAATTTCTATACAAGTTTTCACTCCCAGCAATGGATGAGAGTTCACCTTACCAACATTCTCAAGAGCATGAGTGAGAACCACTCCCTTGTGTTACTGATCTTAGACATTCTGACAGTTTTTTTCCCTATGTAATATATCCTGATTATTGTTTCCCCTCTCTCTACTCCTAGATCCAGAATGCTTCCCTTATCAACCATATCCACTTTGTTTCTGTCTCTCATTAGAAAACAGACAGGCTTCTATGGGATTAAAAATACAATATAATAAATTATAACAAGATAAATGAAAAACTAACATCAGAATAGAGCAAAACCAACCCCCCCCCCCACACACACACACACAGAGAGAGAGAGAGAGAGAGAGAGAGAGAGAAAAGAGGTCTCCTAGAAAAGGCAAAGAAACTGATACAGGAACAGACAAATGTATGTATATATGCCACTTATAGTACTTTCTTTAGGATTAGGGAGCTTTCCCTGTTTCTTGTTAGTGAGTGTATTGTCCTTGTTTGGGTTGTGTGTTGGTGTTGTCTTACTTAGATAGCCATGTTGCTGATGCCTTGTCAGTGCAGCATCCCTGACATTCCTAAGAAATACAATCTTACAGTAAACATCTTTTCATTAAGTTCTTACAACACTTTGTTCCCCTTTTCATAGTGTATCAGAGAATTAGGTGCAAGAGTTTTGTGTTGTAGATGGATCAGGTGTGACTGCTTGCCACAGGATCACTTGTTTTCTTCATTTTGATCAGCTGTGATTTTTCTGTAATGGTTTCTCATTTTTAAAAAGTTCATCTGTTGAGGGGCAGCAGCTGCACTTACCAGTGGACATAAGAAAATATATTTAGAAAAGAAATAATTTGGAATTATGCAAGTTTAGTAAAGGGGTGATGGTGGAATCTACTCTTACTTGGCATTTTCCCCTGGTGAAATTAAAAAGAAAAACAATAATATGTTACCAATGACATCACCAACTACTTTCTGTTACAAATCTCTTTGCTGATCTAGCTTCATTTCCCTAAACAACTGTTGTAATGTTTCAATGTCTGTTCTTTCTAGTACTCTGATGAATGAGTGATTTTATGTCACATTTATGTGACCCTTCTACTTCAGTTATCTGAGCTGCTTAGCTCCCTGCTAAATACAGGCAAATACACCGTCTTCCCAAAGTATGTCACTGACTATGCAGAAAACTGATGTCATGATTAATTTCCGACATTCTCTCTCTTTAGTAAATTGCATTTGTTCAGTTAAATGTGTATACCATGAAACAACATGGGCAACTAATTAATATGTATCACATACTAGTATAATGAATACACACTCTTTTGATAACATTTATGTGAATTCGAATAAATACATGTACTGTTAGTGTTCAGGCATCAGTACTGGCCTGTCCTTGGGGTTCTGACAGGATATGCCCTCAGCTGCAGCCACTGAGGGCACCACCTGTGCACATTCACTATGTTCCCTTTTAAAAGGACCCCGCACACCTCCTATCCTCTCATTCTTTCTCCCCTCTCTCTGTTACCCTCTCTCTCCCACTTTTTCTCCCTCATCTTTTCTCTCTGTCTTCCTCTTTCCTTTTTCCTCTCTGCTTCTGCTGTGTCTCTGGAAGCCAATGATTTGAAAGGAAACAACAACAAATAAAACCTATCTTGTTTTGCTATTTATACACTTTCATTCATTTTGGTATGCTCATTGAATTTTCTGTACAATGTTTTCATGTTCTATGGTGTCTCTGCTTCTATTAGCAATTCAAATATCAGTGCCTTAACCTTCATTCTGTTTGACATATTAATGAATTCTCCTATCTCTGTTAAGATGCCAAAGTGTTTGGCAATTTTTTTCTAAGAAGATGAATTGCCATGGATTTAATGAATGGTGATATGGAAAGCTTTTTGACCCTATCTACCAATGACCCATAAACATTTGCATTCAGTAGTGAAAGAAAATGATAAGATTTTCTATTAGTTTTCAGGTCCCTTTCCTTAGTTTTTATTTGTCTGATCTTTTAAAGAGAGGTCAGTGGCTCATATTATCAGTCTGCCATGTTAGAAACATCAAAATTATATTCATGGAACAAATTATGTGTTGCATTCATTGGGAAATGAAGAATGATTGTCAGGTAACAATTTGATAACTTGTTTCCTGCGCTTGGTGAATAGATGATTGTTTATGTTAGTGAAGAGGGAATAATCTTCATTTTTTACAGAATCCTTTAAATAAGTGATAAAATAGTATTTAAAAAATTAGGTTATCATAACATCAATTGTAAGGATTGATTGGGTGAATGAGATATAGGATATGTACTGATTGAATATGTACTTTGTTCCACACCAACAGCAAACACCAAAAACAGTCAAAACATTCCAGTGTAAGTAACATGCTTTCCATTTTCCTATCCTCTTATATTTGAGTAATTAGTTATTCCTTATAAATAAATTTTAGGAATTAATATCTATATGACCCTTATATATCTTCATGTGAATTTTGTAATATGATTAGATTAATCTTACTATTATATAAGAAAACTTCCTTGAATTATGTGTGGCAAAATGCTTGATCTCAGATAGTAATTATTTTAGTCAATGAATGACAAAATGACATTTACTCCCTTTCAGCATGTGACAAAATCATCAAAACAATGGCTATCATATTTTTCTATTTTTTCCACATTGTACAGTGAACTTTTAAATACCATCTTACTTAAAGAAGTTATTCTGATGATATAAATCTGACCTCTGAAAAACCCAGGCTTACTTATTTCAGTTCATAGAAGGGACCACAGTTTGTTCCATATATTGTATTGGTCCAAATTCAAATATAATTTCTCTATTATTTTTATCTGAAATTGAAAGTATCCAAGCAGCAACACTATTTATAATGAATGATCCCTGAGAGGATTTTACTGATTGTACTCTATTTTAATAAGATGAGATATACTAAGATTTCAGTCCTGTATTATTTCCATGATGAAGAAAATGTCCTTACTCAATGATGCAGAAAATACTTAGTTTTCCCTTAAATTCAAAGATTCCTACTGTGATACAATGAATTGGATCTGGCCTCAGAGGATTAATATTTATAGATTTCATTTTCATGAGTTGTGCTCTTTTCTGATTAATTTTTTCTTGTTTCCCAGGACACAACATCATGAATACTAAGTTGATGACTTTTGTCTTAATGGTATCTATTGCTGCTAAAGACTGATAGGATAGAATAGAGAAATTTTCACAAATAGCCTAATAAAAAGCCTTTTAAAATATATGTCTCAGACACTAGCAAGCTTTTTATATTTAGCTCTCCAGAATAGTGACCAAAGAAGAACATAGGTTGAGTACAAGTTAAGTGAATATATTGTTTCTGTAAGATGGCTAAAGTATTCTAATTTGCTAATGGTTACTGTAAAAACAATTGAAAATTCTGTGTAACTCATCCTATATTTATCAAAAATATTCCATAAAATAACTGCAGAACAGATTTTGAGATATACAAACATGATAATAAAAATTAGAAAATTTGGTGTTGAGAATGATGAATGAGGAAAATAGCAAATACTGTTAAAATACTTCAATACTACTTATGAATAATAATGATTTTCTGTTATTGTGATAACAGATAACTAGAAATATTTTATTCTAATATTCATAAATTAATTCTTCTTGAGGTAATTATAACTAGGGCTGATTAATGGTGGATGGCATTAGGAATTTAATAAACTTTGTAAATATGTTTTTCAACCTATGTGATGACTACTTTGGAGGTTACATATCAGATATCCTACATATCAGATATTTATATCATGATTCATGACTAGCAAAATTACACTTATGAGACAGCAACACCTTAATGTGTTTATATGAGGAAATTATATAGTGTATACATGTCATATTTGTTCAGATGCCTGCAGAGGTCTGAAGAGAATATTAGACCCCTTAAGCTGGAGTAAGATGTGATTGTTAGCTACCTGACATGTATGATAGGAAACAAACTGATTTCCTCTGCAAGAACAGCAAGTCTTCTTAACTGCTGAGACACCACCTCAGAACTGGGACATTTTAAATTTAGGGATCATTGCTTAGCATCTACTTCATTTGAATAGTTTTCATGGTTATCAAGAACTTATGAAGTATTTTTCCAAATAACCATGCACAGAACTATTGCTCTCTGAGGATATTATTTATAAATTTCATTAAATCCACCATGATGATCTATTTTACTGGAATGGAAAAGTCACTCTTTTCTGTTGTAAGCAACATTTCTTGTTCTGAATCGTGACAAGAGTTAAATAACAAGTACCCTAATACAATATTAATAAAGTGGCTATAGAGGTCAAAGTGTGCACCAATTCTAAGTTCACAGAGGAAAAGAGAAATCTGCTGTGAGGTTGATGTTGTGTGGACCTCAACTTTCAATTACTGTGAAAGAAAATAGTGGGAAAATCAAAATCTACAACTTGACTCACCCAGAGAGAGTGCCATGGTCTCACAAGAATTTTGCTCTGTTTCACCTTCTTGTTTAAATTTGACCACAAGCTTCTATGTCATTGGACTGTGACTTTTCCCATAATTATTGTGGTTATATTTAAGTTTCAGAATAAGATTAATTCTAGAAAATGCCCTTAGCATATATCATCACCAGATCAAATCATGAACAAAGAATCAAGCTTCTATAACCTGAGATCAGAGAGATGCCTTGAGAATAATTCTTTAGATTATCACATATACAGAGGTCACTATAAAGAACATGAAATAAGCAATGTGGAATGACTTCTCTATTTTTCATGTCAGGGTAAATATCCATGTGGAAATTTGAAATCCATCAAAGTATTAAAATATTTGTAAAATTCTGAAACATTTCTAGAGTAAAATAACCAAATCAGTGCAAAAGCACTTTAAAGAGAATGAAATTACAGTAAATGGATGAATCCTAAAGAAAAAAAAAGATCATGTTTCATGATTTCCGTTAGAAGTGTCTGCTCAAATTCATTCCAAAACCCCACAATGAATGAATACCATTCTCTAAAGTAGTTCAGTAGCAACAAGAATAGTATTCTTCTCAACTTTTTTTCATTATTATTCATTATTCTTGCTTCCTGTTACTGTGCAGTTCTCTATCCTTTGCTTTCATACAGATATTGAAATACCTGTATAGATTTGATACATAATATATAAAATCACAGTATTAAAGTTAACTACTATAACCACTTAATTAGTTTCTTTCTGGCTTTGTCTTTGTTAAATATATCAATGCATATCTTATCTACATTTGAATATGACATTTTGTGTGTCAAATACGTGAAAGTGAGTAATTGAAAAATGGCTTCTGTGTTTTCAGCCTCAATAAATTAATTGCTAAAATGTCTGTCATAGATTGTTTGAATGGGTGCTGTCTTATAGTTTCTCTTTCTGTACTAAAACACCATGACTTAAAGCAATTCAGAGAAGAAATGGTTTAGTTTTTCTTACAGTTCCAGACAACAGTCCTTCACTGAGTGAAGTCAGGGCAAGAACACAAGGCAGGAAACTGGACACTGGAGCTATTGCATAAGTAATGGAGGAGGGCAGCTTACTGACTTGAGTTTCATAGCTTGTTTATCCTGTTGTCTTATACTACTCAGCACTACCTGTCCATGCGATGGTAACTCCCAGAGTGGTCGACATCTTCCCCGGTCAATCATCCATGAAATATCTCAGAGGCTTGATTTTAGGCAGATTTTTGTGAAGACATTTTCTGTTAGATTCCTTCCCCTCAAAGGACTTTGTGTCAAGTTAAAAAAAAAACAAAAAACAAAAACAAAAAATCAAATAGTGGCCTACACATGAGACTATGCAATAATACAGTAAACTTGGTAATCCAATTTAATGAACAGTGAAAAAAAGCAAAAGTCACCAGTTTTAAAAATCAAAATATATAGAGACACATTATCTATATTAACCAATTTTCCTATTGCTATGATAAAATAACACACACACACACACACACACACACACACACACACACACACACACACACACACACACACACACACACACACACAAACAAAAAAACCTAATTAAAGGGAAAATAAGAAGGGCTTATTTGCGGGTTTTTGATATAACCTACTATGGTGGGAAAAACATGGAGGCAGGAGCAGAGTGCTGCTGTCATCTTGTATCCACAGTGAAGGTGAATTCTGTCCCCAGCTTGTAGTGTTCTTTTCCTTCATGCATTTCATCAGACATTAGCACCCACAGTCCAGGTGGACCATTCCATTGCAGTTAAATCTCTCACTATGAACACTCTTACAAGTTTCCCTGGATGTTAAATTCCTCTGGGAGTCTAAACAAGGGAGGTCCCAATCAACATCATCCATCACAATATTAGGCCCAAACATGAGATTCTCTATGAGACTACTTCATGGTCTCCTCAATGAAAATGCCTGTCTTCATTTGGGGATTCGTGTGCATTAAAGGACTTAATGTAGAAGAGCTCTGATTTGTACCATAGTGCTGTTTGGATTATTTTCAACTTCTCAAATTAAAACTAGCAAACAAAATCATGAGATTGGAATGATTCATCAAGGATGGAAGAATACCCAGAGAGAAAAAATAATAATTTGAAATTTGTATTCCTTTCAACTAGGTGATGTTTCCAAAGGCTTCACTATACAACATTTTTGAATTTTCAATAATTTTATTTCTGGGTAGATTCTAGACTCCTATCCTATAGTCACTTAAATAAAAAATAGTGATGAATTTAATAAATACCTCAAGAGACACAACTGAGATATAACGTGCCAAAAATGGGCAGCAACAAAACATCATACAATGTTTAGTGGTTTGCCATTCCTTTCATTTTCCTGTTAATGTAACTAATGGTTTCTATATATGCATGATTTACTGTTACAATAAATCTTTCTGCCAAAAGCCACTGAGCCCCACTGCCACATGTGCGATTTATGCCAGCTGCCCACCAGAGTTAGGACCAAATGAATACACAGAAACTTGTATTAGGTGCAATGCTACTTGGCCAATGACTAGGATTCTCCTCCATTAGCTCAGTCTTAACTATCATAAACCTATATATTTTATAAGACTTATCTTATCGGACGCCTTATTGGTGTCTCTCCTTGCCGGTGGATCACATTGTGCCTCTGGAGCAGGAGTGGAGTGGAAAAGGGGCCACTTCCTGTTTCCTTGCTTAGATATGAGTCTCCTTGCTATGTCATTTCCTGCCTGGATCACCACTTCTCTACTACATTTCCCAGAATCCTCCTTGACCCCTAGTTACGTCTAACGTGTTGTCTCATTGGCCAAACAGTATTTTATTCAACAATCAATAAGATAAACATACACAGTACATTCCCCATCATCTCCTCTTTCCTGTCTAAATAAAATAAGGCTAACTTATCTTTTATAATGACTGAATAAAACTATAATCATAACTATATATCTTTAACTCTATCAAAGACCACAGAAGGATAATACATAAACTCTAGAATTGAGAAAGACATCTCACTACCTGGACAGTCACCCAAAGTTCCTCTGTAACGTTGGGGCATCCATCTTCAGCCTATAGGCCAGTGTGTCTGGCACACTTCTCCATTTTAACAGGAACCCTTAGTACTGTCTTGTTTTGTAAGTTTAGCAGTCACTTTTTTGTGGGTCCTGTATGTCCAGTTTATACAGCAATAAACAGTCCAGGCAAGAGAAGTTTCTTGCCCAAATGGCTAATCTTGCCTTGATGAAAGGAAACTCCATAACGAGTTTCTTTGATGCCCATGCTCCTTTCTGACGGAATTGGTGTGCCAGGAGCAGTTGTGTCTCACTGCGAAGAAAAACCCTAAACCATTTAAATGCCATATTTCTGTAGGTCTTTGAAAGTTTTGAAGAATATCTAACCATCTCAAATACATCTCTGTATTTCTAGAAAACCTGACTAACCTAATTATAATTTCTGACTATTATAGGTAAAAGATCTGTATAAACACAATACCCAAACAAGAGGAGACATATACATATCACAAAATTGACCTTAAGGTTCTATCAATAAATGAAAATCTATACCAATGTAAAGTATTCATTCCTATATCCTATTTCCCTTTTTTTCTTTAAAAAAATTGACTATGCTCATTATCATTTATAACCAACCTCATTTAAATGAAAACAAACATTTATAAACAATATTTGGGAATATGGGTGTCGTTCTTTCTAAACTGCTTCCTGTTGATTGGGGGCGATGTTCATATACCATGGGGATCATGATAAAACATAGAAACCTGACCAAGCCTTGTTTTTGTAGTCTGTAAGGCTGTATCGTCTTAGCTTCAGGGGGTCTTGCTTGATCAAACCATATTAGTCTGGAAGGAATCCACAGCTTTTGATTTTCTGTGGAAACACAAGTAAAAACTTTTTTTCCAAGTAGCCTGTTCTTAGACTTGAATTCTGAAGTCAAAGCATTTTTAAAATGTATAAGTTGGATTAATTTAGCAGCATTTATAATCAAATGTATTTTAGTAGCAGTAATTCTTTCCTTGGCAATCAAACAATTTAAAGACAACAATATGGCATAAAGTATCCAGATTCTCTGTGTATTTTCCATCTTTGTATGGCTTTTTTATTACTTTATTTTTACTTTCTTTTGTTTCTTTTTTCACGAGACAGGGTTTCTCTGTGGAAATCTGCCTGCCTCTGCTTCCTTTTCTCACAAGCCTACATATATTTTTAAATGCAGTGTAAACCTTTAGAGGTTTTTCTTTATCTGGATCTGTCTTTATCATCCCGGTAGTGCCAAGTCCAATGTCCAAGAGCACCGAGATGGCGCAAGAATATGGAAGCTGCTCCAATATCTCTCACAGGCAGGCTGTGGTGGCAGGTTTCCCTCTTTCTCTGGAAACCTTGGGGCATGGGGTCATCCCAATCACTGACACCATTATTTACTTTAACAAGGCCACCACCAAATAAAGTCATTATGTCAGTTCAGAAGGCAGGTTGTGGAGTTGTCATCAGATGTTCCAATGGTGATACAGCTCAAAGACATTTTTTCCAAGAAACTCTGCAAGATTGCAACTGTTTACTGAGAATCATTGCTTGGCTAATCTTTTCCAATATTTTTTGTGGAGAGTTTGTTTATTATTGAGTTTTTTATCTGAGTCCTCTAGTATAGAGTCGACCTGCTACCCTTCCCATTTCTCAGGATTTTTATGTAAAACTGATGATTTTACCATGTCTAGTGGCTTTATACTCTGTGTATTTATTATTTACATAATCTCAAATGCTTAAGCATCTCTATCGACTGTCACTCAAATATTTCACAGACTACCTCATATCACCTTCCCACTATATCATGAACAATTCATCCAACATATACAACATCTAGATCCTCTATAATTGCATTATTTCTGCAATTTATCAAAATTCAATTTTAGTTTATTTTTCTCATGATAGACCTGTTTGTTACAGTCATCATCGAGTCCTTTCTCTCACATTTCAAATGCTGTCTTCCTGTATACTTGGTATATAAATTATAGACTCTCACTATTTACTGTCTCCTCAAGTACCTTCTGCATGTTCCAATTTAATGTAATATTTTATCACTTTTGACACAATTACCTAAGTATGAATACTGCCTTTCTTTCTTTTCTCATTTACTTGTTATTACCATAACATCCACTAGGATCATTTAGAGTAGACTACCTGATTTACTCATAAACTTTGGGTACAGTCAACCACAGAGTAAGAGACAAAGTACTAAAATTTTACCTCTTCTTGCTTCTTGGAAGTCTTATTTCTACCACTTTTGCTATTTTTCCCTTAGAGGATAAGTTTCTACTTCCAGAAATTTCTCAAGTGCCATAGTTATATAGCTTTTTTTCCCTCAGTGCCAGCAACAGATAATTCTGTTATTTTTCATAGTTTAATTTTTTCTGTCCTTTTCTTCTGCCTCATAATTCCATGCCCACTGTGAAAAAACTCTACTCTTGAAAGATTTTGAAGTTAGTCTTCCTCTGCAAACCAATGACAATCTCTCTATTTTATGTTTGTTTTCTTTAATATAACATAATAGAATGATACATTCTAGGACCTACCCGGGACATTTTAAGTGTCAAGGGCAGTGTTATCGATCATATTGAATTTGGGCTTAGGAGCATCTGCATATATTACATGTCTAGAAGATGTAGTTCAGATTCAATATAATGTAATGAGTATTTAACAAATTTCCTGATAGCCAACTTGAAGGATCCTCTGCATGAAATTGAAATATCAGTTCAATATATCTTAGTAGTGTTTAAAAATATCATTGCATATTAAACACCTATATTATTTCTAACTTTTGCTAAAACATTTCAGATTCACTTTAACATTCCCATTTGTCTTAGAAGCATTGAGAGTTATAACCAAATTTAATACTTGGCATTGTTAGCATGGAATTTATAATCTACTAAATGACATAAGGAAAGGTCAGAGAGAACTATAAAACAATATGCTATATTCTATGTCATGAAGGGGTTTGTGTCATTTGAATATTGCGTGACTATATATTTACAAGGGTATAAAGAACCAGAAAAAAATCTTCAGGAAACGTAATTTTATGTTTTAAAATAAATTCATTGAGATGTTCTGACTGGAGAAGACAATAAATATGACAAACTTATTGTAGCTTGAATTCTAATTGGTCTTAAAAAAACAGTCAGATATAGGGGTAAATGGTGAAAGATCAGAGAAGCACAACAGCTAGCCACTAGTTCTTACCTCTACTGAATCCTCAGATTGAATGGGCAATTCTTTTTTTTTTTTTTTAGGAATCCTTAGACTGAATGTAATGAGCTCCTGTCTCCTCCCAACTTATAATCATCTTTCTGCCATCCATATCATTCCTGTGTCCACCTCCCTAGTGTTAGGATTAAATGTGTGTAATCCTAAGTGCTCAGATCAAAGGTGTGAGCTGTTTCTCTTTTAGACTCGATCATCGATCTCCTGTAGCCCATGGTGGCCTTGAACTCACAGATTAGTCTACCTCTGACTCACAAGTGCTGGAATTATAAGTGTGTGCCACCACTGCCTGGCCTCTGTAGCTAACTAGTGGCTAGCTCTGTAGTAAGTTCTTTTCTCTTTGGGGGGACATTGCCTAGCTCCCAAATGAATGAAACTCAGATTCTTACTATTACTTATGAATGCCCAGCCTTAGCTTGGCTTGTTTCTTGCCAGTTTTTACTAACTTAAGTCCACCTAATTTTGCAACTGGGCTTTTCCTGTTGTTTTCCTTCTGTGAATCTCTCTCTTACCCTGTGGATTGCTGTGAAGCTGAATGGCTGAGTGGTTAGTTATTCAGCTTTTAATTAGACCATCAGATGTTTTAGACAAGCAAAGAAGCACAGCTTCATAGAGCTAAACAAATGCAGAATAAACAAAAGTCACACGTCATAAGATAATATTCTATCACATAGGTCAACATTCTGATCTCCTGGCAAGTTTTATTTGTTAAAGCACAAACAAAGTATCACTACAATTTCCAGATTAAGAAAGAGTGAAATATGATAATTATATGACTATAAAAAATGTAGATCTCTCATTGGCAAGATGTGTGTATTTATCTTAAAGAAATATATAAGCCAAGAAAAATATTCAGGGACAATATCAGTATATTGTCCATCAATAAGGAAACTTGGCCTTCAAGAATGCTAATAATGAAACAGAGAACAAAAACAAATTACAAGGAGTGTTTACAGATGACAAATAAAAGATTATCTAATTTCAGGCTATTGGTAACATGGTAGGAAAATGGAGGAATGGGTATGGTAGTGAAGAATTTACAGATACTAAAATACTTAAGGGCATATCTAAAATACTGTGAAAGTGATCCCTGATAACCTCAAAAAATACATTAGAAAAGAATGACAGTGTTCATGAAGTTATACTGAGATGGCTCTGGAACAACCATAATTTATTGAATAAACAGAGATAACACACATATATCAGAAACAGAAAGAACTTGCATGAGGAAGAAATGTCATCATATTAAATA